AACCTAAGCCCAGGACGGAGTTGTACCAGGGGTGGCGTCTACAAGTTTGTGTTACATGTAAAGAGACATAAATATTACTGTACTGTGTGGTTAGTAGGCAAATGAGCAGTGTCTGTAAATTATCCTTAACCAACCTCTACCAACATGTCATATTTTGTAGTTACTCTGCTTTTACTGGCTGCGGTTAACTACCTGGCATGGAGTCATTTTAGCATATTTTCTTGTCTGCTGAACTAGGAGTTCGAAGGTGTTGTGTCCGTTCTGAACAAAACAGTCACGGCAGCTGTACTCTCCATTTCGAAGTAGAAAAACCCCTTTATTGATATTATCAAAATAGAATAGAAACAGCAGAAAACAGAAATGTGCACACAGATGGGAGCACTAGGAAGCAGTGAAGTGCGGGTCCGCATCGGCCGGGGAAGCCCGGTGGGCACGGCCGGGCTGCGGTCCTGACTGAGGCCTGGGCGAGCGTCCCCCCCTCGGCCGAGACTTCGACTCACCGTCCCCATAGGGGCCACATTCACAGGGTGAGTGACGGAGTCTGAAGGGAAACACTTGTTCGACGTGCAGTTTGCAGCGAGCTGCCTTTCCAGGTTCTCACGTTTCTGTGTCATCAAGGAGCCCGGGCTGTGTGTCTGCCCCACTCCTGGATGCCACCCTGCGGGGCCGGCCCCCCTGGAGCAGGAGGGGACGCGAGCCAAGATTTGTAGCTCTTGGTGTTCGGAGCAGAAGGGCCAGTTCCGACCTGGACGCTGGTCACGTCCACTGACTGGGCTCCCACTCGTGCCACCCGAGTCTCGCAGGTCGGCGTGGTCAGGTCTGGGGGGACAAGTCCCAGGACCCTCCGTCCAGACGGCACAGCATGTGAGGGGCTCTGGGGATGCAGCCAAGGCTGTGTGCACGGTCACCATCCGGATGGCTTCAGCCTAGAGCAAGGGGAGTGGGGCCGGAGGGACACGGTTGCCTGGTGCTGATGGGCCAAGTTCTCCAGAAACGTCTTCTGTAAAAGCAGCTTAAGAACCTCTGTCCCCAGAGGTCACCAGACCCGCCTTCCCTGGAAGTCCTCGGAGCAGAGTTGGATGGAGCTTGACATCCCCTACCTGTCCCTTTCTGCTCCCTGTCCAGACTGTCGCCTTCCGACAACCCTTGCCATAGTCGGTGTGGGCTTGCTTCCTTCTCCTCTGGGGCCTGGGGTGCTGAGGGTCATACCCCTTGCCAGACACACACCCACAGGGCCTGTGGGGATGGACAGGGTGGGGGGGAAACTCCCTCCCAGCCTCTTGCTTCTTGAGGTGGCTCAAGGCCCTGTGGCCGGGGTTTGTGGCCAGTCCTCCCCATTCCTAACATTGGCTGGGACAGGCTCCTCCCACTCGTCCTTTCTGTCTGGCCACTAGACCAGATGTTACTTTGACCACAGGACCTTTGTCCTGTTTATGGAGAAACCCAAAGCCATGGGTAGGAGCTCCACCAGTGTGGAATCAGATTTATTTATCCGTACATCCTGCCGGAATATGGGAGACAGGGCGAGGAGAGCTGTGTCTGAACCACTGGGAGGCTTTGTTTGTTTTAGGAGCTGGAAGACAGAAACATCAGCTTAATAAGCTTTCTGGGTTCAGCTAAAACGTGAGCTGTCAGCCTCGCTGTTGCCTTTGTGAGTTATGTAATAATCAAGCGGTATCTCACAGACCTTCCACTCCGTGGAAACCTAAATGTGTCACATTTGCAAACAAGCAAAAATTACATTTATGACATTGGAGGCTATTATATTGTCTTTGGATAACAGTAAAATATAAGGGAGAAATGGATTTGCTTGGGAGTTTTTCATATTTAGCTTAGCGCATCTAGCCAACAGAGACATTGGATTAATTACTAGTTCTATTAAAGTAAAAACAGGCATTTTGGAAAAAAGGGGGGTTCCGCTCTTTTGGTTTTTTATACTTATGTAAAATAATACCTTTATATAATAAATAAAACTTAAGCATGAGGGGAGCATTTATTTCTAATAACTATTTTAAAATTACACGATAATCTAAGTGAGGATGCAAATGGCTTCATAAATTAGGAAATTCTGATAGAATCAACTCAGTAATACAACGAAAACTTCATGAGTGTCCATAACCATACGTATTTTAAGAAACCAGTTCTAAAAGAGCCTGTATGAGGAATATTGTAAAATGAATTAGGGCAGCTAAAATAGTCTGTATTTTCTCCTGACAAAACAGGTGAGTGACTCTGGCAGTTCCTGAGAACATTCTCTGAAACTAATGGCATGTCCATAAATGCTTAATAGCTCTTGAGAAGACAAACAAGGAACCCTCCCATCACACACACAGACAAAACCCCTTTAACCTGTAGTGCTCGCCCATTTCTGCAGTGCACTTGTTCCCGCACAGTGGGTGTCCCACTAGCCGGGGCTAAGTGCGGCGGTGGTAGCAGAGCAACACACAGTAGCCCACGACGGAGTCTCGCCACTCCACGAGCCGGGAGCCTCCCGGTGGGTGAGGATAGTAGTGAGGTAAGTAGGAGGTATGGGGGATCTGTTGACTCTTCTTCTTTTTCTTCTTCTTCCTTTTTAAAGAGTATGTGAGTGGGAAGGAAAGGCAGAGGGAGAAGCAGGCTCCCCACCGAGCAGGGAGCTGGATGCAGAGCCCATCCCAGGACCCCAGGACCAGGACCTCAGCTAAAAGCAGACATTTCACTGACAGAGCCACCCAGGTGCCCTTAACTTTGTTTTTCATATAAGCTATTTAATTGTAAATGTATTTAATTTAATTTGTAATATTCGTTGAGTTTAAACAAGCAGCTCACAAAATGCCTTGAAAGCTTAGCAGTTGGCCCTGCTGAGCGGCATGAGCCGCCCCCACTCGGCGGCTTTGTTCTCCTCCTTCCGTGTAAACGACCTAGTCCTGTGACGTGGGGATGCTCTGAAACTCCAGTTGGCAGCCAAGAATTCCAGACCTGTGCGACACGAAGCCGACTGTCAAAGATCCGTGGCCAGGAAGTGCTGGAGTGGGTATCCGAGCCTCAGTCCTTATGTACCCCCCGCCCCCACCCCAGAGTCCCAGGCAGTTCCTGTCACCTGCATCCGGTCAGCTGGCCAGCAGGTGCTTCCTCAGGGCGTCGGGTTCTGGAAGTAGCTGTCCTCTGGTGGTCTTCCAACCCCAGCTCTGTTCTGGGGCAGGAGGGCCTGGTACTGAAGGCTCTTTTTAGGTCTGATGAGTTCTGGGGAGGATGGATGCTGTTTCAGCCTTGGGGGATCCGGAGGGGCTGGACAGTGATGTAGAAGGTAAAGGGAGCTGCCTCACTGAGGACATTGGAGTAAAATCTGAAAGAAGGTGAGGGAATGAGCTCTTGTGCTTTCTGGGCAAACCATTCCAGGTAGACGGGATGATCCATGCAAAGGCCCCAAGGCAGCTGTGTGCTCTCGAGGCTCCTGCTTCGGGAAGGGCAAGGCCCCGGGCTGCTCCTGGAGGCGCGGTCAGGGTGACAGTGTGAGGTGCTGGGGGCATGTCTGGGTGCAAAGACATCCGGCTGTACAGAGCAGTGTAGTTTGCTCTGCTGGGCGCAACCCATTAAGTATTTGTGAAATCAGTTTAAGGGACTGCTGCCACCTATTTATGAGAGAACAGAATGTAGAGAAAATAGCACAGAAAAAGTAAAGTTAGGGTAAGTATTATTTAATGAAATACTTGTTTTGCTTTTGTGTCTTTGCTGTGACAAGTAGTTCTTACTGAGTAGAATTATGAAAATAGATGTTTGAAAGGCCTGGCCCTCAGACCTTGTAGGAACACTGGGTTTTCTACTGCGTGAGGAGGAAAGCTGATGGCAGGATTTGAGTCAGGGGACACGAGAAAACACCTGCCCTCTGTGTTGGGAGCAGACTGAAGAGGATGGTGGTAGAAATAGGAAGACCAGTTGGGAGGCTGTTGCCGCGGGTTCAGGGGAGAATTAAGGCGATGGAGTGACCATCCTGCGGGTGCAGCATCTGGAGAAAGACTGAACGATGGGTGTTGGACATCTGTGCGGCAGTGTAAGTCAGCAGTTTCTAGAAGTGCGTATGTAGTATTAACCTTACCCAAAGAGAGGTCTGGCCTTTGCCCCTAGCTGCTGGGAGGTGATCTCGAGGCCCTTGGAGAGTGCCTTTGTTTACCTGGCAGCCTCGGCCACTGGACAGTCAACAGTGTAATTCATAATGGGAGCTGTGGGCCACACAGGATCTGCTCCTCCTCCGGGGGGCTGGGACGGCGGGTCAGCCATGGGACATCAGTGGTGGAGCTCCAGACCTGTGAGAAAGTAGCTTCGGTGTAAGCCACCCAGGCCGTGGGGTTTTGTTGGGGACACACAGTGTGATAGAAAAATGGGCAAGAGATGCAAAGGAAAACCGCGCATCTGCCACGATGGATAACATTGAAAAAGACCAACAATTTTAATTAAAAAACAAACCCAAAACTAGGATATGAAATAGGGATTTTCATCTAAATTTGACTCCGTATTAGGTGTGGAAGGGTCATTTGGATGTTCATAACTACGGCTTTCATTTTCGTTTTTGATTTCAGAGCAGGGAGAAGTGGTACAACCACTTTGGGAAAGTTTAGGGTTTGACCCAGTGATTTCTGACTCTAGGGATGTAAACATCCTCGTGTCCGCACCCAGGCGCTGAACCACGTGCAGGAGCGCTCGTGGCACGGTCATCCCTGAGAAGGAAACAGATGTCAATCAGCAGTGGAACAGACGCCTAAGCTTGGGCATAGTCACAAAATGGAAGCTGATATGACACAAACGAGTCACACTTCTACACAGAAACACAGATGAATCTGCCAAACCCAATTTTCTGCGTGAAAGACACCAGGCACAAAAGACTGCTTGTAGTTGGATTTCCATTTAATGTAAGATCCCAAACCAGCTAAACTGAATGACTGTCGGACATCAGGAGGAGGGACATTTAGGGAGGACGGAGGGCGGTGAGTAGCAGTCGGCCGACGAGCTGTGTTCCCACCGGCGTGTGCTGCGGGGCTGTTCACTCTGCTTGTTCAGTGAGCTTTACAGTGCTCTTTTGTCACGTTTTGTTACGATTTTCTCTTTGTAGGTTATGTTTCCTGATTCAAAACGTTTAAAGAAGGTTGGGATCTTCTAAGGACTCTGTTTTCCATGAGAAGAGTTTTCAGCACCAGAATGAACTTTAAAACCTCCAGTTTGCTTTCTAGGTAGGTTCAGGAGCTGCTTAACTGCTACTCACTGTTTTCGTCTCTCAGTATCAAAATACTGAATGAATATTTGCTGCACAACCACGGAGCACGTAGCATATTAGCAGCTTTATAAATAAAAGGATAAAATCAACCCACAAGATTTTGGGGGGAGTTGCTGCCGCCATTGACTGAATCCTATTTCCAGTGGTCCCCTTTCTGTGTGGTACATGGGATAGTGCGGATCTGTGGGTCAGTTCCCACGTCGCTCGGCTTTACCTTAGAGCAGCCAGGCAGCGCTTGGTTCTCTAGGGGCAGAGGGTCTATGCGCGCACACCTGGACGCTGTGCCCTCTCTGAAGAATTAACAGACATGTGAGTGATCCTTTAAAAAACACCAAACCCTATGTGAGTGTGGAAGAGAGTGGCTGCTTACAAAAGCTCCTTCATCTTCAGTGCATGGGAATGAGGATACCTTACCTGCCTCCTTATCTGTTTCCTCTGTAGTTAGGATTCCCCATGTGGAAAGTGACGGTGCCCTGTATAGAGTTTGGAGGAAAGAATGATTAGTTCAAAGAGAACACCCACTGATTCTAAGATCATAAAACTTAATCTAGTTTCTTTCACTCATTGACCTTGAATGTGGCCCGACATACACGCCAGGTGAAAGCACAGCGCTCTGAAGCTCTGGTGGGCCCTTCATAGCTGGTGGGGCTGCTGTGGCCTGAAGTCAGAGTGCAGCGCTCCCTGCGGCTCGCCCGCACAGAAACAGACGCTAACTCACCTCCGAAGCTTGTCTAGCTCTAAGCATTGCACAGTTCTTTGAAAAGCTGGAATGGTCATGATCGCCTTAAAATTGGAAATTAAGGATAAGAAGGGTGGGTGATCTTTGCCCTCTTTTGGGAAGGATTGTCAGTCCTCAGTTAACCTAGTGTGGTGCCAGTGCTTGGACAGAGGGACTGACGCACAACAGGAAGTCCAGAAGTTGACAACACAGGAATTTTGTATGCCATAAAGACTTTTTTTTTTTTTTTTTTTAAATAGGTTCCACACCCAGTGCAGAGCCAAAGGTGGGGCCTGAACTCATGACCCTGAGATGACCCGATCTGAAATCAAGAGTTGGACGTTCCACCGACTGAGCCCCTCCAGGGGCCCCACAGACAGCCTTTCTCATCACTGGGAGTAAAGACAGACTTCATTAGTGTGAGACGATGGGATAGTCGTTTGTAAAACACCATATGTACTAGGATAAACTCCAAATAGATCAAAGATTGACATGTTAAAAAGAGCAGAACAAAAACCCAGATGAAAATAGAGGTGAATTCCTTTGATTCTTGAAGTGGCAAAGACCCTTCTTAATATATTGCTCAAAATCCAAAAGCTATGAAAGAAAATACTGACACATTCAATTACTGAAAGATAAGGCTGGGTAGCAACATTTATCAAAGTTAAAAGACAAAGGACTCTCTGAGAAAACAACTGATACAAAGGGCTCAGCTCTCTGATACACGGAGCTTCCAAAACCAACGGGAACTATTTTTTTATACATTGTGTATCACATACCTGTGGGAGGGGATGGCCACAGGTCCAGGACAGACTACTAAGTAAACAATGGTAGAGAACCTGTATGCATTCTCCTGAGAGGACAAGGAAGAAAAGTACGTTGTGTTTCTGTTTGCATAGACACTGAAAAGGGAACTGAGTGGCCAAGGTCAGTGACGTGGAAGTGGACTTCTCAGTGTGGATCTCTCCATGTAATTTTGATTTTTGTAACAAACTATTATTATAAAATGAAATAAAATGGATGGTGACCAATGAGAGTTGAAGTCCACTCACATTTCTGTCTTTAGGCATTTGTATTTAAGATTCCATGATGATGATTTTATTGTAAACTGCAGCTTGCAGTGTTGCTGTTTACCCCGGAATTCCACTCCTGGAAACCCATTCTGAGACACCCTTGGAAATGACTATGTAGTTTTTGTTAAATAAAATTTTAAGTCCAGCAGGTGACTGGTGAGATCAACAAAGGTGCACACGCGATGGGATACTGGGGGAGCTACTGGGCCAGCACTGTACTCAGTCACCACATAGTAGGTAATACTTCTAGTTTAACCTAGTTCTGTTATTTTTTTTTTTTCTTAAGATTATTTATTTATTTGACAGAACACAAGTAGGCAGAGAGGCAGGCAGAGAGTGAGGGGGAAGCAGGCTCCCCAATGAGCGGAGAGCCCGATGCGGGGCTCAATCCCAGGACCCTGAGATCTTGACCTGAGCCAAAGGCAGAGGCTTAACCCACTGAGCCACCCAAGTGCCCAATCCAGTTCTGTTCTTGTCCACAGAGTAATTTTCCCCCTTAGATTTGCATGTACACATTGTCAAAGATCTGAACAATAAGTCGTAGTGTAAAGAATAGAACAAACTCACCCCCCGCCCCCCAGAGTTCCTCCTTTTCCTTTGGGCACATAGGACGTACAACCTGCAGCATCCAGATGCGAAATTTCCCCTCCGCTCTTTTTCCCATTTGTGAGCAAATGTAGGACTTACAGAGCCAGGGTCATGATTTGTCATCAATACTTTAAAGGGCCTGCACTGATCACCCATCAGTCCTGGAAATCCTGTGCTTTGTGCATCTCTTTTCTTTCCTTTCAAAAGTCCCCACAGGCAAGGACAATGCAATCAATTAGTAAATAATAGAATTTGTATGTCACCTCTTACCCACCTGTTTCTGGAAGACCTGGGACAAGGAGATGGATTTCAAGTCTCTCTACTGTCTTATACAGATGTTAGATCTGATTCTGTGGTCAGAACATCAAAACAGCAGATTCTTGGGATTGTGAAAAAACCATAAAGGAGCATCTTAATCACTGGTTTTCAGACTTGTGACCCCAATAAGAAACGCAGTCTTCATGACCCAGCGCAAACACACTTATGCCTAACGACGTAAGGGCCCCCAAAATAAATCCCAGGAAGCCTTCTCTACCTTTACAGGGTGGCACACTCTAAGATGTTCTCATCTCTTCCTGACAGTCCATGAAAATCACTGCTCTAATGCAACTTTTACATTAGCAAATGGAAGCACAAAGAATAGTCACTCAGTTTTATCAGTGATAAATGGTCAGGACTAGCTATCCTCTGCCCTTGATGTTTAATGCCTCAGGACAGTACTTTCCCCTTTATACTTTTCTCTACCAAGGTCATCCCCTTGATGACCTCACCCAGGTTCATGGCTTTACTTGCCATCCATATACCAATGATTCCCAAATTTATACTTCCAGCTTAATTCAATTCCGTCCTCCCCAAAACTATTCTCAAAGTTAGCAGTCACCTCCGTACTACTGATCTACATAATTACTTAACTAGTCTCGGGCCTGTACTCAGTTCAGTCAATCAGCAGTATTTGAATCCAGTTGCTAACACCCGCATTCAGTTGGTAATCTCAGGGACTCAGAATTTTGATGGGGGAGCAAAAGGCTGGCTAAGGACAAAGCAGAAGCTGGCACCCTACACCTTTACCCCCCCTTTGTGACATCTGTGACAGTCCTCAGGCCCTCCTAGCTGCCCTAAAGAACCAATAGCTAACTTGTAGAGATCACAATCCTGCAAGACCTGAGACTCCCTCCGCTTAAAAATGTCCTAGTGATTTACAAGGAAGAGGCTTTCTTACCAACAGCCTAACTTCCAGAGACGCAGAACTCAGTTCCTGAAGCCCTAACATTGCCCTCCCCTCCCTAAAATAGAAGGAGGCAGAGGGAAAGGAAATGTAAATCAAGCTGAATTTCTTCTAAACCTAAAGCTCACTGACAAGGACATGTGACAGCAGAAATGTGGCATTCCACCAGGAAGCTCCCAACTGGTATCTCATTAGAGAAAACAAACAAAACAGCTTGGCTTGACAATAACCAGGCCTCCAATATCCTGAAAGTTTTTACCATGTCAGCCCTTTTGAACACCCCCTTTGTCCTCACGTCCCCAACTCCCCAGTATATAATCACCACTCCTTGGGGTACAAGGCAGCAGCTCTTTCTGCCCACGGGCCTGTCCCCACACTTTAATAAAATCACCTTTTTGCACAAGAGACGTCTTAAGAATTCTTTCATGGTCGTCGGCTCCAGACCTCACTTATATTCTAAACTTCATCAATTTGACTTGCCCTCCTCCAGCTCTACCGCAGCATACCTGCTTCTCTCCTAGATGACCACCTTAGAAAAATGCACATCTTTTTCTAGTTCATCCTTTCAGTCACATTGAGTTTGAAGAAAATTATATATCAATATATTAAAATCTAAAAGCTATTGAAAAGTTTTCAAACAGCAAACTTTGAAGGTATTTAAAATAATGAAGATGCCAAAAATTAATATCCCAAAGGACAAACAATAGCTTAAAACCAAAAACTAAAGAGGAATTCCTGCTAAATTATTTATTTTGGAAATTCTTAGCAAATGCAGTACAAAAGGGAAATAAAATGCTTGGTATTCACATCAAGGAAGATAAAAACCAATAAAAGTTATTTTGGTGATGACTAGGAAAAACTCAAGGGGCTCTATTCTAAAATGTAACAAGAAGTGGGATTATAGAAATTGGTAAATTCACTGAATACAATATATCAATACATTTCCTCCTTCCTAGCAATTAAGTCCTAAAAAGGAAATGAGGGCCTTCCATTCACAGTAGAAACAAGCATATAAGTTAATAAACATGACTTATACGGAGAGATCAGTAGAAAAGAACAGAAGAAATCCCATTTGAGACTTTAATAACAGGACATACAGTGGGAGGAAGGGATGGATTATGTAATAAATCGTGTTAGAACAACAGGCCGCCTATCTGGGAGAATATAAACTCGGATTCTATAAGAGTGCATAAAGTTTTAGATGGGTTAGAGACTAAAATAATTTTAGGAAGCAATTTTGAGAGGAAAACCTAGGCTGTTGAATGAAGAATGGAGGGGTGAGGTTCAGTTTCTTAACCAAGAATGGAAATCTAGAAGCTTTGTAAGTTTCTAACATTTAATATTTTGAATTTTATATAGATATCTATATTTAAATGGAAAATTTACCATAAACAAAACATAGTAAAAAAAAAAAAAAAAGCCAAAAATTAGAAAACTATCTGCAACAGAGGTGATAAGTAGTTCACTACTATATAAAAAAACCACAATGGGACAAGAAAGACAAACTGCCCAATGAAAAAAATTAGTAAAGGGATAAGCCTGCATTCTCTGAAAAGTGCATTCAAATGACCAATAAACCTAAAGAAAGGATATATACTTATGACCGTGATAGTGCCCATCAAAGTGACAATGTGAAATAATCTTCCACCATTTAGACTGGCAAAAATTGAGACCACACCTTGATGGCCAGAATGGGTGGGGGGAACTATTTTCAGGACATGTCAGCATCAACTGAAATATAAAATGCACTCTGATCTAGCAATTTCAGTGCTGAATTCCATTGCACTGCACCACAGCAACGGTAAAAGTTAACAGTGCCCGTGCTTACCAATAGGAAATGGACGAATAGCTTGTTACCCCATGTGAAGGACATTAAAAATAGAATTTGACTTGAAAGAATTTTCGAAAGGTTTCAAGAAGCAATGTGTATAAAGCTACCATTTTGTAATTAGTTCTCACTGAAAACCAAATGAACCATCATGCATGTGTATGATAGGTGCTCCTAGATGACGGAGTTCAAAGAAAGCATTAAATAGCTACATGCCTGCGTGGAGCACAGATGCGAAATGCCTGCACGGCAGACATCGGATAGTGGGAGCCCAGCAACAGAGAGGAGAAATACCACCTGAAAAATGGAACAAAGAGTATGCAGGGACGTGGGTAAAAAATAAGGCTTCACAACCATTTGAGCTGATTAGTAACCCTGCATCACCATATGTTGTTTTCTCCTCGGAGGTGAAAGACGTGATTAAAATCTGCATCCTAGAATTAAATTTTAAAAGCCTAAAGAGACAGTTCTGCGAAAGTGTCCTTTCCTACCTAACATGGTAGCGCCACCAGAATAGAAAACCCTGGGGGCGATAAGACACGCTCTTAGGTACAGAGTGGATTTGCAAATATCACCCAATTGTCCCAAATACCGCAGGGCCCGGCTTTTAACTCAACTTGGGCAATCCCCAGGTGCGCACGCTTCCAGCTGGGGCCGGGGCGGGGCTTCTGCCACGACCGTAGTCCGCGTGGAGGAAAAGGTGTGGACTTACAGCACAGCCGGGGACAATTAGCTCCCCAGGCATCGCCGACGTAGTTAACTAGGCAAGACAGCACAGTAGGCCGCTGGTTGCCAAGCCGCTAAGTTCCGCCTAGGAAGGTTAGGCACATCAGCGAGAATATATTAAGTCTCTTAAAAAATTGCGGTGTGGGGTAAGGATTAGCCCAAAACCGTCCTCGCAACTGGGTGGCAACTCCACGTGGGAGCCGAAATACACGTACTAAAGCTCTTTCCTTTGAAATATGTTGGTGGCTCTTAAAAGAGCCGTTGGGTTACTGGAACAGGTTCCAACTGCAACTCTACTTTTTCTTGGGTGCGGCCTTTTTGGGCTTCGCAGCCGTCTTTGGCTTGGTCACCTTCGCCTTGGCCGCTTTGGGCTTCACAACCTTGGCTTTGGCGGGGCTCTTGGCTACTTTCTTGGGCTTCACAACCTTGGGCTTCTTGGACGGCTTCTTGGCCACAGCCGGTTTTTTGGCCTTTTTCGGGGTCTTGACCGCTTTTTTAGTAGCCGCTGTGACCTTCTTGGGTTTCTTAGAAGCGCCCGTCACCTTGGCTTTCGCCACCTTTGGGGGGTTGGCCTTGGCCTCGCCGGAGGCCGCCTTCTTGTTGAGCTTGAAGGAGCCCGAGGCGCCGGTGCCCTTGGTCTGCACCAGGGTGCCCTTGCTCACCAGGCTCTTGAGGCCCAGCTTGATGCGGCTGTTGTTCTTCTCCACGTCGTAGCCGGCGGCCGCCAGCGCCTTCTTGAGCGCCGCCAGGGACACGCCGCTGCGCTCCTTGGAAGAGGACACCGCCTGCACGAGCAGCTCCGACACCGAGGGGCCCACGGACTTCTTCTTGGCGGTGGCCGCAGCCTTAGCCGGCGTCTTGGTTTTCTTGCCGACCGCTGCGGGCTTCTCGGGGGAAGTGGAGGTAGCCGGAGCGGGCGGCGCGGTCTCGGACATGGTGAGGTCGGAGCACACCGAACAAGCTACCGAGACCTGACTGAGCAGGAAGACGCCGGTGGCCCCGGCGCGGCGTATTTATAGGGCGGGGCCGTGCTGTGATTGGTGCTCGCCCGCGCCCGCCTCTCGCCCTCTAGCGCCCCCCGCTCCGCCGCCCTCAGCGCCGCCGGGCGGGGACCTTGCTCCCCTGTCGCCTCCAGCCGACCGCACTTCTGGGCGGGTAGGGGTCGGGCTCCGCCGCCCTCAGCGCCGCCCGGCGGGGACCTTGCTCCCCTGTCGCCTCCAGCCGACCGCACTTCTGGGCGGGTAGGGGTCGGGCTCCGCAGCCCATTAACGTCGGAGGCTGCCACCGCCCTTTGCAAAACAATCCTTTTCTTCCGGGGCGGAGGAAGAGCGGTTCGTCCGGGAGGCACCCAGATAAGAGTCCCGGGCGGTGTCAGGAGGGGCGTGCGTTCCCAGCCTGCGGTGAACGTGAAATGGCCGGGAAGGGGGAGAGGCCGGGGGCCAGCTCTCGTCAGCGCCGTTGCCGTTCCCGGCGACGCCGAAAAGGGACACGCCTGGTCAGGACCTTTTCTGCATTTTGGTTTCACGAGCGCACAATTAGACCCTCCTGCAAGTGCATAACAAGCTGTTGCCACCGTCCCGTGCGCCTGACCCGCCCCCGAGGCCTTCCCGGCCTTCCCACGTGCCCCGGCGGGGCCGACGGGCTACCCTGGGCGCTGTCGCGCGCTCTTCCCCCGCAGGGCAGCTCCCAACCCCGCCCACGAGGGGCGTTCGGGAGGCGCCGGCCGGACTCAACGATCCCCTCCCTTGCGCCTCAGGGCGACAGCGAGAGGGCACGGCTCCCGTGACTTCTGCGGGAAACCCTCCTGTAACTTCTTTGTGGCTGTACGGGGCCTTTAGAAGCGTCAACGGGGCTCCAGTGATTCCCCAGTGCGAATCAAAGGAGAGAATAAAATGCTTTTTCCAGGGCCGCGCCCGGGAGCCCACACGCCCCTCCACAGGCTCGGGGACGTCGCCTGGGGGCCGAGAGAAGGCAGTGACGTCTCCTTCCCGCGCCGCGCTCCTGAAGTTCTCAAACAAGTCCGCGAGGCCTAAGTTACCCGAGCTTCCCGGTTTCCCCCGAATATCCGATGGCCGGAGTACTAGCTGGCGGCGGATACTGGGATGTTCCCACCAGCATCTTCACAACCACTCCCAGCTACGTCCCATTTTCCCGAGTCTGTGTTTTCAAACGCAACCTGTAATTTCTACCAATTTGTAAATAGAACAATCGGAACTGGGCGTTTGAAGGACACTCCATTACAACAGGTGTACGGCCTTCCTCCAAGATAAGCTTTCCTAAGTGAACATCTGGAAATCAAACTTTTCTTAGTGTAATAAACGAGGACTCTAATTAAACGCAGCTTTTTAAAAGGAAACACTTGTTTCGGGGATTTCTTACCGTTCCAGCCTCCTGCGTATCCATTGGATTAAATAGGCTTCAAATAAAATACGAACGTTCCATCCAGATGAAGGATGCTAGATTTCTTACTGGCTGTTCAGTATAAAAGTACTCAACCAATGAAAAGGTAGAATCTGGCCTACCTACTCTTAGTACAAAACGGTCACATTTGGTGTTTTTAAGCTCGAAAAATTTTAAGAACTATAAGGTTAGGTCTTGGCAATGAGAAGTTGGCCCTTCTTGTGTCTAGGAATCCTGTTGATTGCGCTGAGTACACGCCTGCTCCGCAAAGTTCAGAGAGGTTGGTGCTGGAGAATTTAGTAACTGATATTTTACATCTGGCAGAATATATTCTAGACGTGAGAAAATATAAGATTCAGAAAGCTCCAAGTTTAGAAGTCAACATTAATATTTAACAGAGGTGCCCGATTACTGGGAATATTTCTGTAAACTCCAGTGTAATTTTACTATGGTTGAGGTAGGATTCAAAAGAGTTCCTTCATGTAAGCATTATAAAGGGATCTCATTTTTGAAAAAGGTTTCAGAAACTTGTAATATGATAGGGGTTTTTGAATAGGGAGAATAAAGAGTACATTATCGGGGGCAATATTTCTCAAATTTCTCCCCCCAAACTACAGAAATATAGAGTTTTGAACTACAGTATCAACGAAGTAAATGTTTAGTTTTTTGAAAAGGTAATGTTCAAAGCACTGTATCCAGACTACGAAAATCAAATGTGAAAGGAACAAAATCCTGAAGAGACGGGATTATGTGGTAGCCAATGAAATTGCGCCGATGTTGGAAAGCTAAAAGATAGACCAATCAGCCTGTAACCTTACACGTCAGCATTTTCCTCATCCAATCACTACACTTCGCGTACTATAAATATTGGCAGGCATTCTGGCGCAGTGTATTTGTGAGAGTTCTGTGTGTTTCTGTGGTTATCATGGCTCGCACGAAGCAGACGGCGCGCAAGTCGACCGGCGGCAAGGCCCCGCGCAAGCAGCTGGCCACCAAGGCGGCCCGCAAGAGCGCGCCGGCCACGGGCGGCGTGAAGAAGCCGCACCGCTACCGGCCCGGCACGGTGGCGCTGCGCGAGATCCGGCGCTACCAGAAGTCCACCGAGCTGCTGATCCGCAAGCTGCCGTTCCAGCGGCTGGTGCGCGAGATCGCGCAGGACTTCAAGACCGACCTGCGCTTCCAGAGCTCGGCCGTCATGGCGCTGCAGGAGGCGTGCGAGGCCTACCTGGTGGGGCTCTTCGAGGACACCAACCTCTGCGCCATCCACGCCAAGCGCGTCACCATCATGCCCAAGGACATCCAGCTGGCGCGCCGCATCCGCGGCGAGAGGGCGTAAGACGGTACTGTGTTTTTTTTTAAAACTTCGGCCAAAGGCTCTTTTCAGAGCCACCCACGTTTTCAAGTAAAGTGGCTGTAAACTACCAACGAAACCGTTGACTCTGAGTAGCTATGGACTTAGAAAAGAAAGGATATCGGTTGGCAACACTAGAGTGAGCTACATGTCCTTGTTTCTGTGTAAACATGCCCTGTGTATGGGAACAAAAGCCCTTTACAACGTTAGATACTGTTCACCGAGGTCCTAAGGAAGCGTCAGCGTCTCAAGAAGGGCATGAAACAGTTGGCTCTTTGAAGGGCATTAAATGGGGCCTCCTGAGCATTTCTAAAACGAACAGGAATAGAGGAGTTTTATCACAGGTATTAAAAGTGAAACATGAAAGAAGTCTGGTTTATCACTAAGCTACTCAATTTATATTTCTTTGACCTTGATATTTTTGCCATTACTGAAATTACTGCAAAACAAGCATTTTTATATAAGTATTCTATTAGACTATTTTTGGAATCATACATGAGTTTACCATAAACCCAGTTCGTTAGAACAAGGTAGTCCAGTTATGGGAGTAAAGACCAATGGTCAAGCTGCGTTCTGCACCCGCCCTTCTCGGAGTTTCTGGGGCTTGGAGGCAGGACTAAGGGAGGGGACTGCTGGCGTCACTTTTCCCGCCTGCGCTCTTTCCATTCTCTACATCTGCAGGGGGTGGGGTTGGGAGGGGGGACGTCGTTATATAAGGACCAGCTCTCGCTTGCTTTGTCACTTGCTGTGGGTTTGCTTTTCTGAAAGCTATGTCTGGTCGCGGCAAGGGCGGGAAGGGTCTGGGCAAGGGGGGCGCCAAGCGCCACCGCAAGGTGCTGCGCGACAACATCCAGGGCATCACCAAGCCCGCCATCCGGCGGCTGGCCCGGCGCGGCGGCGTCAAGCGCATCTCCGGCCTCATCTACGAGGAGACCCGCGGGGTGCTCAAGGTGTTCCTGGAGAACGTCATCCGCGACGCGGTCACCTACACGGAGCACGCCAAGCGCAAGACGGTCACGGCCATGGACGTGGTCTACGCGCTCAAGCGCCAGGGCCGCACCCTCTACGGCTTCGGGGGCTAAGCTCTGATTCCACTACCAGGAAATTGCATTTCGCCATCAAAGGCCCTTTTCAGGGCCACCCAAACGTTCAGAAAAAGAGCTGACCTGATACACTCCACTGGCTAAAATTAACAGTTGAGATTTAACGACCGAATTCTGTAGGATTGCAGGATTTTTAAAAAATAAAACCGTGCAATATCCGATTACACCAAAGGGACTCCCTTAGCTGAGCCGTACTTATTTGCTCCTCTGTCCTCGACATTGACCGCATTACAAGTAAGGGAGGGATGATACTCCCAACTCAAAAGTGGGGGGAACCAAGTAGAGCAAGGAACTTGCAGGGATTTCTAGGAACAAAGAGGAACATTGTCCAATCAGCAAGTCCCATCCGTGTTCGTCAACCAATCAGAACTGATGATCTCATGTGCCACCTCACCGCCCCCCCCAACTCCCAGGCTAGCCAGACTGGGGGATGGGAAGGTTGGCCAGAAACCCCAAAGCCCTGGGTAAGGAATTTGTGAGGTTTATCATTTTGTGCATTATGAAGTAGATTCAGACCCTCAAGTGTCCTTCAATCGGCTCTTGAGAACAGTAGAGGTTTCACCACTAACAAACTCCAAAAAATAATCTTTGGAAACGGGCAGGGGAGAAACCAGATTCAGGCTGCCAGAAAACCCGGGGCACTGGATTCAGGGGAAAGTAACATCTGGTTTATGGGGGAAAGTGCCTCTTTCACTGCCAGCAGAGCCCGTCTGAGTTCGCCATACTTTTCCTCCCTTCACAGAGAAATGGAAATTAGGGCGGCTAATTTGGAATGAATTTTATGGTGCATAAACTATATTTCAATAAAACTGAGCGAGTGCGACAGAGCCTGCGAGCTGACTGCAAGCTCAGTATGTCAGCTTCAGCCGGTGTCTCTCCTAGCTTTTGGGGGCCCCCTTTCCACCTGATAACTGTCCTCCAAGATTTCTTGGGGAATGATAAAAGTACGTAGTCTGGTCTAATTTAAACTGACAGTGAGAATTCAGAGACGCATCCTGGATAGCCAGAGGAGCAAAATGGGCCTGGTTGGGAGAGCGGTCATTTTATGTTCTCCCTAGCTGGTGTTCCTTCAGGAGATATTTATTGACCTCATGTAATGTGCCAGATACTCTTATAGACAGTGGGGTACCTCTGTAAGCAAATCAAACAGAATTCCCCGTTGTGGACCCAGAGTATATGTAGAGAGGTGTGTGGATACAGATTTTCTATGTGAGAGGGGAGAGCTACTTGTACTTGCTACAATAGACAGGACTAGCTTCTGTGATGGCAGGCCTGGAATCTTTATTAACAGCCTTGTAGATAGTACCATGCCCATTTTAGTTATGCTCACTGCCCTGGGGGAAAGCCTCTGAGCCTTCTTCAGCCTTAACACTCATGAAGGCCTTTTCAGAACAAAGATAACGCGGCCTATCTGCCACTTCGCATCATTCCTCAGATCTAGAGGAAAAACTGCCATACGGATTGATTCGGGCAGAGGTAAATCAAGGAACAGTACATAGAGAATCAATTGTGACAACACTCTGGTAGGCCTAGGGTCTTACGTAGAAAATTCATGCACGCATTCATTCAGCTGATGGGGTTCAGGACATGCGATCCCCTAATAAGCCACCTTGGCATATTAAATATGTTAAACTCAAGGAGATTAAGCTTCAGAAGCAGGAAATTCACCCAGACATTCCCTCTGCCCCACATCAACCCCCACTTCTTTCTTTTTCAAGAAACCAAAGATAAATCTTTTATCTGAAAGGTACCCTCCTGTATCAGGAGGAAGAAAAACATCCTTATCACCAGAGATGAGGAACTCAGGGCTGAGAAGTCTCTAAGAACAAACCTTGTTACTTCTTTACCATTTACTACTTCTAGTCCAAAGCGCTTTGTCTTTTCACTTCTTCAGAAAGGTATTCTTTGTCTAACAGATATAAAAGAGCTTCCTGCTCTGTTCATTTCCTTGAACCTCGTATCTCTGTGGGGTTCCTGTACATATGCACATAATTTAATTTGGTTTTCTCCTATTACCCTATCTTTTTATTACAGGGAGATCTCAGTTAAGAATTTAGAAGGGTAGAAGGAAAAATACTTTTCCTCTCCCCACACAACAAGCCTTCAGAGACGACCTATTACCCTGCTCTCAAAGAATTATATTCCAGTTGTGGGAGACAGAACAATTAAACATATACTGATACACGTGGGGATGCATATACTATTTTAAAGAATGAGCAGAAAGGGGTATTACTTTACATAGGGTGGTCTGGAAAGTTCTCTTTCATAAGAGGGTGTTTGAGCAGAGACCTGAATGAAATGAAGTCTGCAGCCATCCAGGGACCGGCAGCAGACTATGCCACACAAAAACTGACTTGGACCTAAAGATCAAAGGCACTTGAAAAACAACAGGTGCCAGAAGGCACACTGACCTCTCCTTTTTCTTCCTGAAAGCAGGAGAGAAATTCCCCATATGGAAGATGTCACCCTTATATAACAAGGAAAGTAACATTTTTCTCACCTTGGGTGAGGGGTTGAGGCCAGGAGAAATCTGTACAAACAAACCTTGTAAACTAACCCTTATCTTCCTAGTTACTTTCCCACAACTCACTATCCTAGCCCCAGCCTCCTTGCCTTGTTGTGTTTTCAGTTTACTACGCTTTGTCCAGCTCAGTACAGAAGTGTTCAACTCTAACTGCTTCTTTGGGTCTTCATTTCCTTAGGAGTGTACCTTTGTCATGGAAAGCATATTGGCATACAATAATAATAATAATAATAATAATCACTGGAATGTTCTGAGGGTAAAACAACTTTTGAAATGATCACTCTTGCTGCTGGGTTGAGAAAAAAACTAGCTATCAAAAGCAGAAATAGAAAGACTAGTTAGGAGTCATTATGGTCATCTGGACAATAGGTAAGTGTGGCTTGCCCTGAAGTAGCAGCACAGGATGTAGTGAAAGGTGCTTTCATTGATTTGTAACAGAGATGACTGGGTTGGATGAAAATTGTAAGAGAAAGAGCTCCAACAGGACTGCAAGATTCCTGAGCTGAGCCCCTGCAAGAATGGAGTTCCATTTATTGAGGTGGGGAACGCTGGAGAAAGAACAGATTTGGTGTTTATGTGTTAAGATATCCAATTTGGACAAATCAAGTTTGAGATGTCCATTAGACACTCAAGTAGATATATCAAATATGCAACTGGATATGTGGCAAGTTTCATTATGAAGCATGAAGTGGGTGAAAGGAAACAAAAGTTTAGAGGTGATTAAAGTCTAAAACAGCCATTGTTTCTAAAAACAGCCATTGGGATTGAGAAACATACAGAGGCTGGCACAATCATAGGCATTGTCACTACAACCTGACCTGGCACTTAGGGCTAGGTCATGGAGTTTTCCTGTTGAGCATAAACCATTATACAGAACACAGAACATATCAATAGTGAGACCAAGATCAGAGAAGGGGCCCAAGAAGTGAGCCATAGGTACTTGAGCACGTACTGGAATAGACTTTCCCTTTTCTTTAGTAGGGCTGTATAGTATTTCATTTGTTATGGGCTGTTTGTATTCCTCACCTATTTGCATGTTGACATTTTAATCCCCTGTATGATGGTGTTAGGAGTTCTGGCCCTTCAGTAGTGATTAGGCCCCGAGAATGGAGCACTCATGAATGTAATTAGTGCCTTTCATAAATAAAAGAGTTCAGAAGGCTCTCTGGCCCTCCCTCTGCCATATGAGGACACAGCAAAACAAGTCTACGAACCAGGAACTGGGGGCTCACCAGACACCAAATCTTGTCTGAAACTGCCAGTGCCTTAATCTTGGACTCCCAGCCTTGAGAAATCAGTTTGTTGTTTAAGCCAGTCTATGGCATTTTCCTTATAGCAGCCTGAACTAAGACAGGGTTTCTGGTGACAGTTTACATTTCTACTCATTTACTATTACACCGTATTGCAATAAATGGTGTTTGAATTCTTCCTGATGGGATACAGACTCCTTTATAGGCTGGTGATTCCCAAATTTTCTTCTAAACCAGACCTCTCACTTGAACTCGAGAATCTGTGCCAACTGCCTATTCGGTATTTTGTGTCGGAGAGACATATTAGAGTAACTTGCTTTAAGCAATCGTCAATATATTTCTCAAGAATTAAATCAAAGATGCTATTCACGTGCCTGATTTATCAATGAGGGCATACTAAAAAACACTTTATTTTTTAAGTTTAGGGCTTTGAATGAAGCTTTCAAGAATGCTCGAAAAGTGTTTTGAGGGGCACCGGGGTGGCTCAGTCGGTTGTTTGCTTGCGGCTTACATGAACCCTAAAACCTTACCATGTACAGGAGGCGGAAGAGGAGCTGGGCGGAGGGACGAAGGCGGAAGGTGCAAGACAGTCGCCTGAGAGCCGGTGACCTCAAAGGACGGAGCTCCTCCGTCAAGCCCTCAAAGTGGGGCCCTGCCGGAGACCCTAGGGGGTCCGAGTAGCAGAGACCTGAATCCGAACAGACCCCCTTCGTCCACTAAATGGCACTTCCCAGACCCCGCTTAGGCAGGGGCGGAGGGAGGGCCTGGGGCTCGAGAATGGCGAGGCCCCTAGAAACCTGCGACCCCCGGCTGCGGCCTCACAGATTCCAGCTCCGGGGCACCGGCGGCGGCCCGCGGGACCTGACGCCAGGGGACGCTCCGCTCTCCTCACACCGACCAGGGAGGCGACACGCTAGGAGCGAACGTTCGGCGTCTCTCCGGTCGCGCACTTTAACCCACCTGGCTGCCTGTGAGGCGGGGGCGGCCTCTCCCAAAGAAAGATTTACCGAACCTTCCCAGCGAGCGAGCTGGGCGGCCGCTTAAGCCCTACCGCCACCGGAATCCCTCTGTCGTCGTTTCACTCCTTCACACCCGCAACAGGAGGCAAACTTGCGTGAAGAGCGGAGGCCCCGGGCCCGCGTCGCCTCTCCATTGGCCTCCCTCAGGCAACCCCTGGTCCTGATTGGCACGGACCCCGCGCCGCGCACCGTACGGCCAGCTCATTGGTCGAGCTAGCATCCGGCGGCCAATACACCGCCCATGCTTCTTTACACCAGAATCCAACACCCCAAACACTGTGAAAACGCAGTAAATGCAAAAAAAAAAAAAAAAAAAAAAAAAAAAAAAAAAAAAAAAGCAGAAACCGCGTACAGCCCTTCTGGAAATAAAGTGGGCGGCCCTGAAAAGGGCCTTTAGAGAGCTTTAGGGAATAAGCGAAACGGGGGAAAATTTAACCACCGAAGCCATAGAGGGTGCGACCCTGGCGCTTGAGCGCGTAGACCACGTCCATGGCCGTGACCGTCTTGCGCTTGGCGTGCTCCGTGTAGGTGACGGCGTCGCGGATGACGTTCTCCAGGAACACCTTGAGCACCCCGCGGGTCTCCTCGTAGATGAGGCCGGAGATGCGCTTGACGCCGCCGCGCCGGGCCAGCCGCCGGATGGCGGGCTTGGTGATGCCCTGGATGTTGTCGCGCAGCACCTTGCGGTGGCGCTTGGCGCCCCCCTTGCCCAGGCCCTTCCCGCCCTTGCCGCGGCCAGACATGTCGACCTAAACGTTCTGTGCGACTTCCACAAGACGAGGGCCCTTTTCGTCTGTCAGCGCTAATTATAAGCAGAAGTCGGACCTCGTTGAAGACTGACAGCGCGGGCGGGCCCCGAGGCCCCGCCCCCAGCCCGGCTCCCCGGCTCCTCCCACCTCTGGGCGGAGCTCCGAGGACTGTGTGCTGGAGGGAGCGAGGTCGCGTGGAAGGTCTGGCTTCTCCTGAGCGGGTTCGTACTGGTGTCTGCAGGAATCTCCCCCATGAGAACGTTACTAAGGGCTTCTAGTTTACAACAAAGTATTGTCCTCTCTCATTCAGAAGGGGAATGGTTGTTGGCTGGGAAGGGAACCCTAAGATGTCACCCCAAAACAGGAGTGTTGGAGTTCAGGACATACTGTCTCAAAAATAGGCCTCTTTGGTATGGAGGGTAGCAGAAGACGCCCCCCCACCCCCCAACCAAATGCGCCACTTTGGCATAAGGATTATATGCGAGCAGATTATTTTTAAGAAACACCGACACGGTAGAATCTCTAAAATCTCCCTGACGGGGCATTTTAACATTTATGAAGATCTCAACCTCTAAGTGTCTCCCTCTCTGCACCAGGAAGAGAAGGATGACTAAATCACCAGACATTCCTGTCCTTGGAAAAGCCCCAGCTTAATTCGGCATCACAACCTTGTTTCCCATCCTTTTCCCGCCAACCCCAGACTGGCTCCCTGGGCACTCCCTTCCCACACCAACATCTGTTAGCGGAAGGTGTTCTTTCCAGGGGTGGCTGGGGCCTCTTCGGGGAGTTCCACTCAGTTCTTCAGAGCATCTCCCATGTATACACGAGGGGTCCATGTCATTACACTTCTCTTTGTTTTTCTCGTTGATCTTTTTTTATAGGGACTCAACTAAGCATTCAGAAGAGTAAGGGAAGTTATTTTCCCTCTTTTACAGATGTGTGACCTTGTAATTTTGCCTTCGTTTTCTTCATCTGTAAAGGTGGAGTGATGATGATACCACTCATGGAGCTTTTGTGAAGATTTAAGTTAGCTAATGTAAGCAAAGGGCTAGAACAGAGATTGACGCAAAGAAGTCCTACGTAAATGTGCCTGATTTTTAGCTGGTATTATTACTTAAAGAATCTGTCTGGAGTTGGGAGATTGCCCTGAGCTCTCATTTTTAAGCTTTTACTCCTAACACAATATAGACAACACAGGCACATATATAACAGTGAAGATTTTTTTGTTTTTTTAAATCACAGCATTCAATAAAGTATAAAGCGTTGATGAATTGTGTTTTTTGGTTTTGTCTTCAATTAAAGTATAACTGACATACAATATCATCCTGGTTTTAGGCGTACAGCGTAGCGAGCTGACGGTTCTATACATTAGGAAATGCCCATCACGATGTGTTACCATCTGTTACCACACAAAGCCATTATAATATGATCGTATTCCCTCTGCTGTACATTGCATGCCTGTGACTTATTTGTTGTATAACTGCAAGTTTGTACCTCTTAATCACCTTCACTTATTTTGCTTCTTACCCCGCACCCTCACAACTACTCATTTGTTATCTATATCTCTGTTTTGTTTTTTTGATTGCACATATAAGTGAAATCATGTGGTATTTGACTTTATCAGACTTATCTAGCATATACCCTCAAAGCCCATCCATATGAATAATAAGATTTCATCCTTTTTCATGCTAATATTCCACTGTATATACAGTTGACCCTTGAAAAACGCAGGGGTTGGGATACTGACTTGTACACAGTTGAAAATCCACATATAACTTTTGACTCCCCCACCCACGAAACTACCAATACCATACTGTTGATTAGAAGCCTTACTGATAACATAAAGTCTATTAAAACATATTCTGCATATGTACTATATGTTGTATTATTATAAATCAGAGAAAAGAAAATACTATCAAGAAAATCACAGGGAAGATAAAAACATTTACAGTAGTGTATTATATTTGTTGAAAAAAGAATCTGCAAGTAAGTGGGCTCACCCAGTTCAAACCTGTGTTAAGAGTCAACTCTATATACCACATCTTCTTTATCCACTCATCTATTGATTGACAGACTCTGTTTTGTTTTTCATACATAGCATGTTAATTAAGGTTGTCTAAATATATTCCTTTGTGCCCTTTCCAAACATATATTGACAACGTCTGCTTTCTGTCTTGTGGCCATGTCTGGAATGCAGTTCAAATCTCTTAACTGATTTCCCACTGTTGTGTTAAGTCTCCCTAAAACAGTCATTGATTAGTAAGTCACTTCTTCTGGGATCACTGGAAGGGCTACTACTAAATTTTTTATTCTGAAAAATGCACTCTGACTTTGGCTTCCTCCTCTTTTCTGAAAGACTATAACAAAGCAAAAGTGGTTCTAGACACCAACAACATTACCGCAAACTTTAGCCTGTGTGTTCATATCACGCCTTGGTGCCTGGGTGACTGAGGACCTTCCAACAGCCATTTGAAAGACACAATCTGTGTGTTAAACACCCCCCTTTTTTCCCTCCAGCATGACCATAGTCACTCTGCTAATCCAAAGTAATAAATGCTTAAAGCACTGATGTTAAAAGACTGGCACTACATTTGGTCCAATATGTTCAGTAAATTTTTTACAAATGTGAATTTCTTCCATTTTTTGTTTTTCAAATACTTGCTGAAGTTTTCTTTCCAAACAGCAACAAAGTAATGCCAAGTGAAAGGGAAGTTTAGAAGCTAAAGTTTGCATTTTTATTTCAATTAAAAAAAAAAAAATCTGAGCGGTGCCAGAGTGTCTCAGTGGATTAAGTCCTGCCTTCAGCTCAGGTCATGATCTCAGGGTCCTGGGATCAAGCCCCACATTGGGCACTCTGCCTGTTTCCCCCTCTCTCTCTGCCTGCCTCTCTGCCTACGTGTGATCTCTCTCTCTGTGTCAAATTAAAAAAATAATAAAGTCTTTAAAAAAAAATCTGAGAATAAAAGGGAAAATAATACATAGCTCAGAAAAATTAATAGCATTTATACAGTGCTCTGTGTTCAAAAATCAACTCCTATTATCCCAATAACATTTCTGAGGTGGGTAGTACTATCCCCATTTTTCTGATAATGGAGAAATCAATTTGTGAAAAAGACATATTAAGTAGTAAACTGGAATTTGAATGCTGGCAATCTATCACCCAAATGCTGCTCTGGGCCACCAGCTTCCAAAGGACTCTTGGACAGAGTAACAAGGTTGGATTCTAAGATGGTGCTAACCTTACTTTCCTAGACACTGGGCAATTACTCTATTGAATAGCTCATGTAAATGAAGACACAGCCAAATCCTTGATCCTTGGCCAGGAAAGGGGTGACAGGTGGTGGGGAGAAGCACGGTCTGAGCCACTGTCCCCTGGCCATCTAACCATCCAACAGTAATGGGTACTTTCACTTTTTAAAAGCTATCCTCTTGAGCCCTATACCTAAAACACCCTTTATGTAACAGATACATACAATAATAGGGGAAAAATAAAAAACACAATGCATATAAAACCAGCACAGCTATAAAACCCGATACTTGGACTTCAGCTGGGGCCCAGAGCTAGAGAGCAAAATCACCCTGGTTTAAGCCAAAGTCATTGGTGCCTCTGACAGTCCCTTTATATGTATAGAAAAGGTGTGTGCCAGAGTTGTATGGATAAATCTGGAAAAATAGAATGTTAAAAATTCAACACAGTGACACACACACATTCACAGAAATGCCCAACCTTATCATCTTTAAAATGCAAATATGTTGTAAAGCAAAAGTGCTTTATTAAAGTCCTGGAATGTAAATAAGTCCAAGTAAACCACACAACTCAAGTTTAATCTTCTATTTTGTCTATTGTTAAGAGCTTAGCATCAGCTTAGCATCATAACTTAGCATCAGCTCCCATCTCAGACATAGGCCCAGAATTTTAGGTATTAAGAGCTAAGGTGTAGAAAACAACTTTTGGAATTTGATGGCTAACTTGAAAAGAATGTACAGCCAAGAATCGTGAAAAGAAATTGTGGCTAGCCCTAGAATAAAGCAACACAACCAATCACAAGCAGGGCCACAAATGACATTATGCAACAAAAGGACTTGATAAATTATGCTTTATCAACTGATTAACAAGGAGTATGTAGCCATAATATAGAGACAGCTGGGTTTTTACCTCGGTTTAGAGAAAATTTAGGTTATATTATTATCTTAAGACGTAGAAAGGTTCTAAGACTACACTGGGTAAACGTACTATTTTGCCTGTTCCGTTGTTGAACCTGAGCACTCCGTCGTTAGAGATGCCGATGACCAGGTTACCGAGTATTCCAGTTCGGCATGTCAGGGTCAGTTAGCGCCCAAACGATCACAGCTACTTTTGCTGAGCTAATTGGGTGGCTCTGAAAAGAGCCTTTGGGTTTTTTAAAGTTGACGCTCTCCTTGCAGACTTAAGCCCTCTCGCCGCGGATGCGGCGCGCCAACTGGATGTCCTTGGGCATGATGGTGACGCGCTTGGCGTGGATGGCGCAGAGATTGGTGTCCTCGAAGAGCCCCACCAGGTAGGCCTCGCACGCCTCCTGCAGAGCCATGACGGCCGAGCTCTGGAAGCGCAGGTCGGTCTTGAAGTCCTGCGCGATCTCGCGCACCAGCCGCTGGAACGGCAGCTTGCGGATCAGCAGCTCGGTGGACTTCTGGTAGCGCCGGATCTCGCGCAGGGCCACCGTGCCGGGCCGGTAGCGGTGCGGCTTCTTCACGCCGCCCGTGGCCGGCGCGCTCTTGCGGGCCGCCTTGGTGGCCAGCTGCTTGCGCGGGGCCTTGCCGCCGGTCGACTTGCGCGCCGTCTGCTTCGTGCGAGCCATCTCTAAAGCGGGCGGAGAGTGTCTTCACCGAAGCCGGTAAAGGGCTCACAGCCCTCCTCCTTTTATACAGCCAGACCAACAACCATTGGGCCCACGAATGTTCAAAACTTCCCGCGCTCTCCCCCGATTGGCCCAGCACCGTGAGCGGTGCCCGGATTAAGAGCGGCTTTCGGGTTGGTGAATGGCTCCTAAACCCTGCCCTTCACGGTAGCTACTCTGACGTCATTTATTTACCCTTTCCATTCTTATATCCACTGTGGACAAAAATCTTGTAACGAGAGCTTCAGAGATTTTGAAATGTCAGGTAATCACGCAAACCAACATAGGAATTTCCAACGGATCTTTTCTTAGAGAAACCGTCAAGATAATTTACAGGTGCTCAGGGAAATATACAAATGCGCTGCATCTACGATGAAGGTGAAAATTTTCTTGGGTCTGGCACAAATACTGTGGAAAATTAGGAAAATGGTCTTTATTCACAAGCACTAATTATCACGGACCTGTAAATTAATCTCAGATGCTTCGGCAAATTTGCAGCGTTTTCATCAGCTTGGATCTAGATGGAGAATGTGGGTATCCTTCAACAAATGTTTTAGTTAGAACCTAATATCCCAGCTCTTTTCACTTATTTTTTTTTGCAAAACGTGAAGCTATTGCCCTTGCGGTAAACTTTGAAACTTAATCTGCACAATAGGGCCTTTCCGTTTAACGCACGTATTGCCAAACTCGGCCAATACCGTTACCCACACTTACACTAAATCCACGTGTGGCTTTTGCCTCCAAGCGAGTATTACTATCTTTTATGGGGCACGGGGTAATGCTTTCTGGGAGTTAATCGCGACATCACAAACAATCACTTTCGTTTTAAACGCTCGTCAGAACTAAAAGCAGGACAGCTCTTTCAATGGAAATGGTGGGTGGCTCTTAAAAGAGCCTTTGTTGTTAGATTAACTCTTTCTTGACTAGGAAAAAGTCCATGTTAGAAACAATGGTCAGCCTTTTACTTCCCTTTGGCCTTGTGGTGGCTCTCGGTCTTCTTGGGCAGCAGCACGGCCTGGATGTTGGGCAGCACGCCGCCCTGCGCGATGGTGACCTTGCCCAGCAGCTTGTTGAGCTCCTCGTCGTTGCGGATGGCCAGCTGCAGGTGGCGCGGGATGATGCGCGTCTTCTTGTTGTCGCGCGCCGCGTTGCCCGCCAGCTCCAGGATCTCGGCCGTCAGGTACTCGAGCACGGCCGCCAGGTACACCGGCGCGCCGGCCCCGACCCGCTCCGAGTAGTTGCCCTTGCGGAGCAGGCGGTGCACGCGGCCCACCGGGAACTGCAGGCCCGCCCGCGACGAGCGCGTCTTGGCCTTGGCGCGCGCCTTGCCGCCCTGCTTCCCGCGACCCGACATGACTGATAAAACAAGATGTAAACGCCTTCAAAAGAAAACGCAAGAATAGAAACAAAGCGTGAGCAAGAGAAGTATTTATACTAACGGGAGGTAGGCTATTTTCAAGTCTCCTATTGGCTATTTTCAAATAACCAATGAAGAAGCAGAATCAGCATCCCTCATTTACATACACTCTCCCATCTCGCGGGAGGTTTTTGAATGCTTCAGTGTAATCCGGTATGAAGAACTTTTATTTTAATACTAATAATTGAACAATTTGTTTTTTTCAATAATACTATTTCAAAATACAATTAGAAGTAGAAGTCATTGTCCTCATTGCTCCGTCTTTTCGCTGTTTGTCCTTGTCCAAGGTTGTGACTAATTGTGGAATGGAATAAACAGAAAATTTCTAAATAGGTAACATTTAAGAAGTATATCTATGCCAGCAATTGCTTTAACGCTTTGAATCTCACAACGGAAAAGAAAAAAAGGAACAAAATAATTCTTTGGGACCACTTGAGTGGTGCAGTCGGTTAAGCATAGGACTCTTGGTTTAGACCCTGGTCCTGATCTCAGTGTTGTGCGTTTGAGCCACGGGGAGCCCCAGCATGGACCTTTGCTCACAGGGCGGGGTTGGCTTGAGATTCTCTTTCCCTCTGTCTTCCTGGACCCTTGCGTGCTTGCTCTCAAATAAGTAAATAAATCTTAAAAGAAAAAAAAAAAAATCTTTGTCAGAGCCCAAGTTTTAAAATATCTGAACAATGAAACCTAAAGGCAAGAACTGGACCAATCAGCCTTTGCCCTGGGACAGCCAAGTTTTCTGCTTCAGCCTTTATCTAAACATGAGGCGTTAGAGGACCACCCACCCTCAAGGTATATAGAGTACTGTTGTCACTTTAGAGACCAGAAGACTGAGACAGTTTGTTTGTTTGACCTTGTGCAGGCTCAGGCTGAGTTAATAAGAGGGAGGACTCCAACCAGTGCCATTTCCAATTCTCCCGCCTTCTCTCTTTTCTCATTTGGCTACAACACAAAGGATTCTAATCCGTTCAGGAAACTCCTCTGTCATCAAAAGAGATTGCCAGGAGAAATGTTGCTGTTTTTCCTTTTACTGTCCATGAGACAAACTAGATGGGGCCCAGATGGAGGTGAATAATTATTTCAGGAATTTTTGCAGGCTCAAGCCTAAACGGCTTCTATGATTACCAAACAGGATGGTAAAAGACAAGAGAAGAGCCTATGTGACTCTGAAAAGTAATATGGAGGACAGATATTGGTGAAGGAGATGATGAGGGTAAATTCTTCCATAAAAATATCTGAAGAAAAGTAGCTGTCTCCAGTAACCCCTCTTCCTTTTTCTTTGAGCCAGGAGAGGGACAGAGAAGAAGACTCACCACTAAGCAGGGAGTCTGACACAGGTTTCAAACCCAGACTCAAGAATCATGACTGGAGCTGAAGGCAGATGCTTAACTGAACCACCCAGAGGCCCAAGAATCCCTCATTTTAAAATAGAAGTTAACAATGACAACAGATCTTGAAAGACAGCTCAAGTTGACTTGATCTAGATCTGTACATTATTTATCTGACAAAAATTTTTTTAAAGATTTTATTTATTTGTGTGAGAGAGAGTGAAAGTACTAACAAGGGAAGTGATTGGGGTCCAGGGAGAGGGACAAGTGGACTCCACCCTGAGCAGGGAGCCCAATTTGGGGCTCGATCCCAGGACCCTGAGACCATGACCTGAGCCAAAACCAACACTCCGATGCTCAACAGACTGAGGCACCCAGGAGCCCCTCATCTAAGAGAATTCTAATAAAACCAGGTTTTTTCCAGTACTTCAAAAGCCACTAAAAAAAAAAAAAAAAAAGAATGATTATATCAAATTTTGTTTCTTATCTCATAAGTATAAATGTCTATTGAATCCCCAGGATGTGTTCTTTGTGGCAGTATGTTTGAAAATAGTAGCTGGAAACCTTGCTTACATCACACAGAAACAACGTATGAAAATTATTTCAAAAGCATAAAACCTTCTGTTTCTGGACCACAGTGAAGTACACACACTTATCTCTATTCTTTCTGCTAGGTACAACGAGAAATCCCAGACATTACATGTAAACCAAAGGTGGAGAGAAGGCAGGTTGGCTAAGTGACCTTGAGAGCTGAAGAACAAGAAAGTTTTGTGTTCTCTGGGTTTTCTTTTTACCTCCCATATCCTGGATTTGGTGCTGAAGAAATTGGCAATCTCGAAATGCCAAGGAGAGCAAACAAACAACAGCAACAATAAAGACACAAAACAAGAACCGGATATCTCTGCCCAAAGGCCAAGGGTTGACCTAGAAAGTAGAAAACTTAAGACATAACCACTGTACAGCGAAACACCATGGAAAACATTGTGCCTCTGCCTCCCCAGCTCCACAGGTATAAGGTTTCCATGGAGGCCAGACGGGGATCTCGGGCTTCACTTACTCAGCGATGATGGGGTGCTTCTCCCTTCTCAGCAGGTGGAAATTATCCAACTAGATTTTAAAGCAGCCATCATAAAAATACTTCAATGAAAAGATAACAGACCCACTTGAAACAAACGAAAGACTGCAAAACCTCAGGAAAAAAATAATAAAAGATGTAAAGAAGAACTAAAATCAAATTTCAGAACGGAAAAACACAATGACTGACAGAAAACTCCACTGATGAGCTCAACAGCAGAAAGGACAAGACAGAGGGGAAAAAAAATCAGTGAATATGAAGATAGAAAAATAGAAATTACCCAGTTTGAACGACAGAGAGAAAATAGACTGGGGAGAAAAAAACCAACATCAGAAACCTGTGGGACAATAACAAAAGACCTAACGTTCATGTCTTTAGAGAATCAAAAAGAGAGAAGAAAAGAGAGTGGAATGTCCAAGAATTCCTAAATTTGACAAAAGATGTAAACCTACAGATTTCAGAAGCTTCACAAACCCCCAAGTAGAATAAACCCAAACACATTCTTGACATAAAACACATCATAATCAAACCCAGGCAAACTAAACACACACAAAATATCTTGAATGCAGTGAGAGAAGAAAAAGGGAAGGGGGGAAAAGGGAAGAAAAGGGAAAAATCAATTCAAACGACAAAAGATTTCTCATCAGAAACCACATACCAAAAGGCAATGTCACATTTTTTTAAGAACTCAAAGAAAGAAACTGGTACTGTCTCTCTGAATTTCATGTCCTTTAGGAATCGGTGAGGGAATAAAGACATTCTTCGATGGAGTAAAGTGGAATTTCTTCCTGGCATATCTCTCCATAGGAGAATGACAAAAGGAAGTTCTTGAAAAAGAAAGGAAATGATATGAGATTTTTGGAACATTAGGAAGGAAGAAAGTAAAGAAAGAAATATGGGTAAATACAATTCTCATGAGTTTTCTAAATTATGTTTAGAAGCTAAATTTCTTATATAATCTGATGTAGTTCTTGATGTACATAGAGGAAATATTTCAGAGTGTTATATTATAAACAAGAGAGGGTAAAAAGATTTAAAAGAAAACAAGCTTTCTAAGGTTGAACTGGTAACATGTAGATACCAGTAGACCGTGATGTTGTGTGTAGGTAATATCTAGAGCAACCACTAAAAAACTATCCAAAGACCATAGATGAATCAAATTCA